AAAACCACATCTGACGCTACTTAGACACTCGATAGAACAGCGTGACGGGTCTGTCACGCTTTCCACCACTTCACCAAACTTCAGATTTTCCATAAAAGGAATCCCTTCCGGGTTGGGTTTGTAACACAGGCTTGAGTTTCGCTTGACAGGTTTGGTCGATGAGATGGATTTGTTTTGTAAGATAGCTTTACAAATTACTTGTAAATTATCAAAGTCTTCAGATCCAAAATCTTTTTCAGACATGATTTTTTCACACTGATTTTTCAATTCAGTGACTTGTTGGATGTGTGCGTTGATTTCATTTTTCTCGTCCTTGTTTGAGCTTCTTTGCTCCACAAGGTTTTTGTCCAAGATAGCAATTGAAGCATTTTCGTGATCTTGTAAAATCTTCATCAAAGATCGTGTGTTATTACGTACTTTTGCCTTTTCTGTGTCAGTCTCGCTTTGAATTCTACTCATATTCTCGTCGGATAGTTCTAGCTCTTTCCTGTATTCAGCAATCAGCTCATTCAAGCGATCAATGTCTTCCCTGATAAGCTTTTTAGCATCTTCTGCTGATTTCTCAGTCTTAACCTTGTCATGGCTACTGTGCGATTTTGCGATACACTTTTTGTATAACTGAAGAAGAGAGTTGGACTGAAACGAAGAGGGAAGCTTCGAGATGTCACCTCCTTCGATGTTCACGACTACTCTACAAGTTGGGCATCTCAACCTCTTGCATTCTTTCTCGCAGGCCTCGTTCCATCTTTTGATGCAGTTGAAACAGAAAGTATGTAGACACGGTAGGAGTGTTCTTGGGTCAGTAAAGATGTCATTACAAATAGCACAAGTTAACTGTGCTTCCAAGTCGTCTGTGATACTTAGTGAAGATGCTGCCATTGTGAGTTTGCAAGAAGCTGTTCTTGTTTGTATGGCATCATTCCGAGAAGTATAACGGTTGACTTGTTATCACCACAGAAACCATGACAGTATCAAAGCAAAGAATATTTCAAAAATTTGAACATTTCGAAAACAAAGTTGTTGAAATGGAACCAGTGCACTAGCTGTAAACTGTTGTGTTTACACAATTTTTGTGCTGATCCAATTTTATCGTGGAACGTGGCAGCACAAGACAAATTAATTTGTTTCAATTTAAAACAGAATGCTTGTTAATGTTTGTGGAAATGAGGTAATGTCATGAAATTTAGCCATTCTTAAATGCAGTGTTGATCGTTTCCCCTGCTCGGAAGAATATAGTCACAATGTTGGATATCTGCGGAATGTACTGTACATACAGGGACCGCGGAGCGTGAATTTGTTTGGGGGGGCTAGCGGCGACGAGGTACTAGGGGGGTTCGGAAATTTTTGAAATCTTAACTATTGGGCTCCTTCTCTCGGAAATGTCAATGCGTTATCCAAGACATTTTTACCGCACACGCGGTCAGCGATATTATCAAWAAAATCCCGAAGAATTCGTAAAAATTAAGAG